AATGGCAGATTTTGGAATACATTATACATGACATGCTTTGCCTGCTGGTACATTAGTATTCTGAAAGATAAAACAAATTCTTGATATTAACAACTGAAAGGTAAAACAACAACAACAATCAGTTCTACCTGGAAAACATCAAACTCTTGAATGTAAATAAAATATTATCTAATACTTTCCAGGTACTTACAAGCACTTAAGTTTTGGTAAATCCTCAAAAAGTGGTGCATTTCCAGCTGCTGTCAAAGTCTTTAGTTGATTTCCACCAAGATCTCTATCAAATAGATGATGTTTATGTTGCTAAAGATTTTATAAGACTTTTTATAACATGAAAGAGCCTTACAAGTGAAGCAGCTCTGGGATCTTGTAGAAGACTTTGGCATTGATTTCTGCCAGTTTGTTCACATGCAACTCCCTGTTTAACAAGATATAAAAGTATGTTTTTATGAAGTATGTTTTTACCTCTCAGTAAACCTGTCTCAGTAAATGAGACTTTATGAATTGCTTGACTGGTTACTTCCAGTAGCCAATGATCAATATTTTGTGCAATGTCATTATTTTGCATTATTTTATATATAAATTTTACTTACAAAATTTTGAGGTGAATGAGGTTTTGWAGTGCCTCACTTGCCACAGAATCAATTGCATTGTGACTTAGATTCCTATTGTGAAAAGATTAGCAAAAAAATAAGAATTTAATGCATTCTTGCTTTATGCTTGAATTYATTCTAAGTACTTACAGATGTACTAGTTGTGAGTTATTCCCAGCAAATCGCTCTATGTTTGGGTAAGAGATTTTTGTAATTTCATTGTTGTCCACTCCACTGAAATAAATTGTAATATAGGTGTCAAGAAAACAAGTTGAAATTACTTAATCAGGAATACATCAGAGAAGCTGCTACGAAGAATCGTATAGACGCCTTGCAGTTCGTGGGAATGCAATTCTAACTGGAGGACAAATGAATAGATTCTAGTTCCCAAGAGGACAAAAATCTTTTGTTTTGTCCTCCAGGTGAAGCTGCTTTGAAGTCACATGCAAGGGGTCTATAAAATAATTGTGGCTTTAAGTGTAAATTTAACACTGTATTTAACTCCTGTACAGTCCTGTAATATCTAACATCTGGCCACTGCACCGGAATCCCCTTTAACAAGATTAAAGGCTTAACTTACAGGTAGAGCAGCTGTTTGGTGTTGAGAAAACCCAATGCTGGGAATACTTTGAGCTTGTTATGACCCAATGCACTAAAAAATATGTAGAAAAAACACAACTAAACTCTCATTACAATTTGGACTAAAGAGAGTTGTTGACATGGACAATTATTGTCTATAGCAATAAAACTGATTGACTAAGACGCATGTCTTGTTCTAAAAAAAATTGAGTTGGCAGCTCAGTCTGCGATAATAATAATGTCAAAAATGTTGTCAAGCTCGATCAGCACTTTATCAATGCAAACAACAGTAATTACAATTCCTTTTAACTTACATATATTTGAGGTTTGGCARGTCAAACCAGTCATCGGGTATAAAGTCAAGTTGATTCTCAACCAAATTACTATCAATCAAACAAATTCATAATTCAGGATTAATACAATTAATACAACAAAAAACATCAGTAGCTTTTACTAAACTTTGACAATTATAAACATAAATTATACTCACATCTTTATCAAACTTTTTGGCAGAGCTGTGTAGTTATGTCTCCAYAGCCTGATTTTATTGTTGTACAAATCACTGCAAATAAAAAAGGTAAAAAGTTAATAATTATATAATCAACAAAATTGCAATAAAAATTTCAAAGGAAAGGGTATTCAAGTATGATCCTCTGGACATGAGAACTCTGTGCGATGCAATATCCAAATATCTGGTCGAATTTTACTGTAAGTTTTACAATTTTTCAAAACTCCAAACTCCACCTTTTGAACTACGTTTGAGAAATGTGCCTTTTCCTTTCTCAAGAAACACAATTCATCCTTGACATTTKGAGTTTTGATTAAGAGCAAAGCCTTAAAACTTACAGTTCTGTTAACTTAGAGTTTCTTGAAACATCAGGGAAGTCATCGAGTGGGTTATAWATTATCTGCCTGAAGATCAATACAAAWTGAATGAATAAATTAATGAATGGATGAAAGGACTAATAAATGAACAAATGAAAGAAATTATGCAGGGGGATCAGTCCAGGCATGGATTAAATGAAAAATGAATGGATAAATGGCTGAATGCAAATATAAATGAATGGATGAAATTTCAGAACGAAATTGAATAAATGAATAATTAGATCGATTATATATATGATATCAAAGAGGCAAGATTTTGCTGTAACTCCGAGTTTCGTGCTACACACTCATCAGACAGTATTTAATGGGATCAGCCACTTCCTCATACGATTAATTAGATAGATTAATTAACTGATAACAGACAAAGTAAATGGATGATAATGATGATGATGACAATTATGATGATGATGATATTGATGATGATAATAATGATGATGATCAAGTATAAAGATTAATCATCAGTACCAGTGTTTGATTCAATGCATTGGTAACATTAGTCAGAGTATAAAACTTACAATAATGCAAGATCTGTAAGATTATAAAAGATTTCATCACCCAAACTTTGTAGATTGCTCTGTACTATTTTACTGTGAAACAGAAAAATGAATGATAACAAAATCAATAAAAATGCACAATGTTCATCTTGCTTCAATCATTTTTTTCGAATTTATTATTTTTATTATTTTTGAATAATAAACATAATGAATAAAGTATGGAATAATAATTAATAATAATTAATAAATCCAAGCGTACATGTTTCCTTTCAGAAGTGGACAGACTATTATTACTGTGTTGTCATGACAACTTACACATTCTGTAAGGTTACAGGAATTTCGTTTATCACTGGGATATTTCTATTCTTGAGGTGCCTGAAAAAATTAATAAATGATAAACAAAAAATAAGTAAATACATATACAAAAATAAACAGATGTTCAACATCACATCGAATTATCTTTTACATTTCTTTTATTTTCTAAACATTGTTTTCACATTTTGAGCACGAGAAACTAATTCTGAAGCTTCTCAAAAATTGATGAATATATTTATTGATTCTATGGCATAAAGATTAAAACGATTGAATCTTAAGTAATAATATTTACCTATAATTATGTAATAAAAATATATAACAAATTTCATGAAATCAATTTACTTAATGGCTCAATTCAACCCAATTCATTAAAATTTAACTTAATTGCAAAAACTGTACAGAAAATATACTGGACTTACAATGTTGTACTTYTGTAACCTTTGCATTCAAGAATATTTTTGTTGTTATTGCAGGAGCATCCATCGCAAGTTGCTCCCGATATATCGGTACTTTTTCGTTTATATTTATCCCTGCCATCGTTGTACGAGTTCCAAAAGCCATTCCAGTCCGAAGGATGACTTAAACCTTCTGCAGAATAACGTGAATTCCAATAATTATAGCCGAGCCAATTTTGAGAGCTGTGGTCTGGATATGAAGARACTTTATAGCAGCAAATTATCAGAAGGAATAGCGCGAAGAAGACAGTTCTTCTGAGCTGGAAGAAGGCTACCATGTCGAAACCACACGAGAATGTTACGTTTTAACCAGCAACAAAGACGTAGATAATAGGTAGTTCCATTGCTTCGATAAGCATTCCAAAGTTGCCAAAGAAATAATTGAACCAATGCCTTTATTTATTGACAAAGAGAAAGTCGAATTACGTCAATAGAAAAATAACTTTTGGAGCGTCTTTTGACGGTACCTTGACTTGTTGATGTTTTGGCTGTGBTTGGTGTAAATTCTGGTCCAATTAGAGTAAAACCAGTAGGATGAACTTCTCAAGTTGTGCGCTAAGAATAACAACGACTGGTATAGTTTATATCGCTCCCTTGGAGATAATTATGCCTAAAGTGATAAATATTCATGTAGGCCGCCATCTTTGAATAGCCCCACTCCTCCCCTGGCGGGGGGTATTTGYTGAAAAATGAGCATGTAAAAAGCGAAGTAAAAAGAAATGAAAGAAACAAATAAAAAATCAAAGATGTGAATAAATGATTAAAGAACTTATTAAAATACGGAAAATCAGCAGTCCTTAAGTAGATCACTTAAAAATATTTTTTTTAAATAAATAAATAAACAAGACCAATGAGAATACAATGTSAGAAAAGTACGGTTTGAAAAATAATAGGATTTTAAACTCAGAAAGATATCGTCTAAGAGAAATTCATGCAATTATGAAAAACTAGAAATATAAAATGGTTTTTATTGAGCGCAGATCTTGTTACAAGATTCGCAAAGAACGCTGGGTAAACTTTTCAAATAAACATGGCCGCAAGAGTCAGAGCAATTCTGCACAGCTGATGRTTTTCATATGATCTTTTTGTCCGTTTAACTGAATGAACTGTTAATTATTCATCTTGCCTCGCTTGGCTTCGACATCRATCGCTGGACGCCATAATAATTACGTCATTTCCAATCGTAGATTAAGTCAGATCCTCTTGAAAACCATTGGGGTTCGGGGACCCTGTAAGTTCGCTTTCCTCATCAAGTGGGTTTATTGAACTGTTTATTTGTTGCTGTTGACGGGAAATCCTCATTTACTGAGATATATAAATGTATTAAGGTAAGAAGAGATTGAAGCATTAGTTAAAAGAGTGTAATTAGATTCTTTCTTTTGAATGTTGATTGTATTCATTTGTTCTTTTTGAATAAGCTTCTAAAGTCTTTTGCACGGTTCCTTTTGCACTTGTAGGCTGCTACACCACAAATAACGCTGGAGCAATCATACTCCTACGTGAATTGACTTACCTACAGCCTATTGTACTTAGAAAAGTATCAAGATTGTTGTCTTATTGTGTGGATTAGCGATTGGATTGCTTCGCAAAATCAGCTGATGTCAAAATTTTAGTGTAATGGCGGAAGGCGTAGATTCGAGATGCGTAGAAATTGATGCAGAAGATGAGGGGAAGTCTGCTGATTCTTCTCACAAAGAGCTCGAAGACCTTGAGAAGCAGTCGAAAGATGACGGGGATACAAGTAAGCACTTGAATTCTCCAAGTGCATGTAACGATTCTCCTTCGGAAGTACTCGAGTCCAGGGGAAATTCATCATGCAAGACTAATACMCAAGGTACTACAGAAAGGACAAGTAATTTAATGGAAAATCCCGATGTTGGATGTTCTAATAATTCTGTAAAAACTGACGTTAAAATACAACAAATTAGAATTGCTAATGATCAAGATAGGTTAGGTGGAAAACAAGACGTATTAATTAAAGGAAATGACAACTATTTTCAAAAGACAGAAGACTGGGACAAAGAACTGGATCAGCAAAATGCTCAAAATGTTCCTTCATTGCAAAGCTCTTGTGCTGATACAATTGGAATCACTGAAGATTGGGATCAAGAAATAAAAGAATCAGGGATAACACAGCCACATTTCATTCTAAAAAAAGGAGATGCCTTGAACGAAGAAGTATTCAATATTAAAATTTTAAAGAATATATCTGATGTGGACTTAGGTGCTGTAGGTGGTGGTCCCAGTCCAAGCACCGGCGCAGCATTGCAATTGTCAGCAAATGATAACATGCAATCTTTATATCATATCAAGTGGGTGACATGGAAAAATCTGAATACTCCTATCATTACTCAGAATGAGAATGGGCCATGTCCACTTATAGCATTAATGAATGTATTGATTCTACAAAGAAGGATAAGTATTCCCCCTGTACAAGAAATGGTCAGCTCGAACCAGCTAATGGAATACCTTGGGGACTACATACTAACCCATGCACCAGAGGTGAGAGAAAAATTCAGTCATTGAAATCATTCTCAATTTCACAGATGGTTTCCAGTATAAGCTGAATTTTGCATTTATTATTTGCCATATGTCTTTATTTAAAAATACAAAATGGTGCATGTGTCTCTGTCTGATATAAACACGAGGGAAGTTGAAAAACATGAGAGAAGCAAAAGCTTAGAAACAGTCCAAGCGTAGCGAGTGTTTTTCTTGTTACTCGAGTGCTCTCTTGCTTTTCCCATTCATCAAATAATTACTATAATAGCAGCCAAAATGTTATATAGAAAAATTATCTTTAGTTACATGTACTGCATTTCTGTTGGACAGTCTCATTGATTTGTCATCTGTTGTTTATTGTTATTAATGTTAGCTTTTCAATTCATGCTAGGATTAAAGTTTATTTTGATGATGGTACAAGTGCATTGACTCTTAGGATATATAGTTTTCTAAATGTTTGTTTTAACATATATTTGTTTGGATATCAGAGGCTTACGGAAGGTGCTCAACTAAATTATGAACAAAACATGGCAGACGCTATTGGCATCATGTGTAAGCTACAGACAGGCTTAGATGTCAATGTTAAATTCACTGGGTAAGTCCAAAGTATGATAAATGAATAAATCTATACCTTAAAATAAAGTGGTGGATGCTATGACACTAATTGCTACAAATACCCACAATATAGGAACTGAAAATTTACTTAGAAAATGGAAGGAAGGTATTTGAGACTAAAGACATAAATTCATAAAGGAAATCAACTCCATTCATTAAAGCTCATTTATTATAAAATAATATGTTGCAGTATGATATTATTTTTTATACCAGAGTTGCAGACTTCGAATTCACCCGAGAATGTCTGGTGTTTGACTTGCTGAATATTAGACTCTTACATGGCTGGCTAGTAGATCCTCAGAACCATGAGGCAATTTTGGCTATAGGAAGTCTTAGCTATAATCAGCTTGTTGAAAAAATAATAGCAAGCAAACAAGAGGGAGCGGACTCTAACTTGGCCACTGAAGGTACACACCTACCAAGTATCTTTCTTGACCATCTCCATTGATATCTCTTCCATTTTCTCTCTCACTTCTTGTCTCCTTTGTTTGCAATGTCTTTAAGTTTATGGAGTCTTTGTTGCAGGTTTTGTAGCTGAATCATTTCTTGACAACACTGCTTCCCAGTTAACATATCATGGATTATATGAACTCAATGCAAAGATGGATGAAGAAGAGCTTTGCATCTTCTTTAGGAATAATCATTTCAATACTCTATTTAAACACAAGGTAATAACACACTCTTGAAATGTTGTTTTACTAGCCAAGCACAAACAATTTGGAGACAAGGCTTATGGGATATAATACATGTATATAATAGCCTCATCAACTAGTGTACCACAGTTGGCTATTCATTTTATGATAATTGTATTATGTATAGTTTAAAACACGAGAGAGAGTGTTTTATCAGGTATAAAGATTCGAGCCGAAGGCGAGAATCTTCATACCTGATAAAACACGATCTCGAGTGTTTTAAACGGCTTAAAAAACTCCAACACTAATTTGAAACTCAAATACGTTAAAATTCTTGGAGAAATTGCCGTAAAAATATGTTCAGAGATAAATGGGGCAAACTGATCATGCGCGAATCACTTTACAAAGCACTCTTGTCATCCCACATTGAATACGCATAAAGTAAAATAGAAACGCTCTTGGCTGTTTACTGAAATCGGTTGACATCCTGCATTGGTCAATGATCATCATTCAAACCCGAGACCTTTGCTAGGGTCATGGACCTTTATATCTGATAAAGGTCACCCTTATTAGTATTCTTTATATAAAGAATACTAATAAGGAGTGTTTTATCAGATATAAAGGTCCATGCATGTGACCAAATAGGCTCATTCTATTGGCCTAGTAGCTCATTAATTATGTATGAGTTTTTTAAATTTATTTTTAAATCTTACAGAACTGAGTCATACAATGATAGTCATAGAAACTAAAGGATATGTTTAAACCTATAGATTTCCTGAGTAAAACTAGTTTATCTCATCCATTTTCAGAATGAACTCTTTCTACTAGTAACAGACCAGGGTTATTTAACAGAGGAAAAAGTTATGTGGGAAACCCTATCCAATGTAGAAGGAGATGGATGTTTCGTAGACGCTAACCTACAAACCATTCCTGTATCTCAACAACCCTCTGCAGAAGCAGCAAATGCTGGTAGTAAACTACCTACAGGAATATCTCAGGAAGATCAAGAGTAAGTTTAACAAATTGTGCATGGTTTTGAGGTGTATGTCCTGTTATTAACACACTCTTGACGTCATAAAATGTTCAAAATTCAAGTGGACCATGAGCGCGTTTTTTACCACATTTTTAGTCTAGAAATAAGGGAAAATCACTCTTTTCTTTTCAATTGAGTGTGCACGTGAGACGTGATGGTGTCAGCACAGGTGTATGTCCTCTTATTGACACACTCTTATCAGCCAATCAGCATGCAGGAATTTACACAAGTGTGATAAAAAACATTTACTTTATTTCTGTTGTACAGACAGTGGGGAAGTTGTTCATTGAATAATATTCCCACTCCAAACGTTTTTCATTGGATATTATCTGCTTGATAAGGATTTATCTGCTGAATAGTGCTATTCACACAAAGCTTACCCTAGGTGTATCGTTTGCACTTTTTTAAAGCACTTTCAAACAGATTACTGTGTATTAAGTCTCTGTCATGTTTGTAATTAGTTATCTGGTTGCCCTTTCTCTACAAGAAGAACAGACAAATATCACCAACAGCAGGGGAAGAGAATCTTGGGAGCAGGAGGCTAGTGCAACGGCAAATCTACCACCTCAACCTGATCCATCAGCTGGTATGACTTCACAAGAATGGTCAGAGTAAGTGTACACTAAAAAGCTTTATTGACATAGAACAGATCAATATCCGTTATAATGATGAAAAAAAACGTTTGAAGCCAGACAACTAAATCAATATTTTGACTATATCACTCCAGTATATATTGATTTTATTGCATAATAAACTAGATTTAGTTTTAAAATATAATTTAGTAGAGCAGAGTCACATGAACCATGAAATAAAAACTACAAAGTAATAACTAATAAGCACTATTAGTTCCTAATAGTCGTTAGCACTGAACCAGAACAGTTTATTTGATCCAATAAGCAATACCCAACAAGAGACCACTATAACAATCAAAGTAATCTCTTTTCTTTATTCTTTGTACTGTTCTGGTTCAGTGATAGTGTCTAAATAGTGCCTATTAGTTACTAGGTATTTAGTTTCTAATTTAGTAATTTTATATTTTATAGTATTTTATATTTTATGATTATTGCCTTCTTATTTTTATGTAATTGTAGCATTTTATGTGTTTTATGTTTTGATTGATTGAATAAATGTGAAATCTTGATGCATAGTTTGCAGTTGGCAATGCAGTTACAACAAGAAGAGGAGCAAAGGAATTTACAATTGCAACAACAACAACAACAACATCAACAACATCAGTCTAGATCACAACCTAGTGATAGTAGGCCTCGAGGTTCTCCTAGTCACGCTTCAAGTAACCCTTCTCCATCAAGTCAATCACCCAGACAGCAGACTCCTTCAGATCAAAATGTAAGTAGACACTAATAATAGAGAGTTTAAAGCATTACCTTTACGGCAAACAGCTAATGGCAGAGCTGAACCAATGATCTAAGAATTTTTTTTTCTTTTCATGAATGGCTGAGCTTTATGCACTGAGTAACCTGTCTTGATTCCATTGTGTATGACTGCAGAGAGGCAAAATTCGCAAGTTGTCTATTCCTTCTTTTGCTTTTGGTGAATCATTTCCTTTGTTGGGAATAAAGGGAAATTTGAACGCTAATAAGCATCAAATGATTTAAAGCAGTATTTGTCACTAACCATTTTGTTTTTATCTCTTAGAAAGAGTGCACAATTTTATAGGAAGAATCTGAGAGACTAATATGTGGAAGTAGTTGAGGTACTTTTGTATACAGAAATAGGTGTATAAAGTAAAATTATTTTAGTTATAAATTTTGATTTAATTTCAATGCCGTATGAAATTATCAGATGAATGATACCATTTTGTTTCTTGGACTTTACAAAAAGAAAAAAGAAATTGTAACATAATGTCACTAAAACCACCAATTCATGAGTTTATTAACATATGACTGCTTTGTCAACTTCTGTCATTGAATTCTTGAAATTTCTTGCTTAGTTATAGACATAAAACTGGAACATCTCCTGTTCACTTCTGCAATGAAATATAATTTGAAAACAATGGGATTTTAACTGAACAAGCTTTGACAAGGCTTGAGTACAGTCACTGGCATGAGTAGGTTACAGGAAAACCCTGCATAGAAAAACCGAGATTTTTTTAAGTCAGCATGAGCAGCTCTTATATTAAACAGGTGCTTAACTTGAAATCAGGCTCTCTAGGTTCTTAAATTGAAGCTCTATTTTGTAATGGAAACAGTTAGTTAGTAATTTCTACAATTACAATAAACTGTTGGCGTGAAGATGGAGTATGGAAAGATTTCATTCATTTAATCCAACAATAGAAGTAGGCTAAGCAGTCATATGAATGTTTGCGTAAAAAAAACTTGGTTTCCATAATTGTGAAATAATTAAAATTACAGTTTTGAAAAAAAAATGAACTTTTGATGAGCCTTGTGAGTGAAGAGAGCAAATTACAGTTATTTCATCTATTGAAACTATTGCAATATATCAGTAAAATGTTTTAAGAAGATGACAAACAGATTTGTCTCCAAAAGGTACATTGTACAAGTGTTAAGTACCATCAATATTCCTCTCATTTGATCGAGACCAGGGCTGTCAATCCCAGGCAGTTTGACACCTCGAGATTGGTAAAACAGACATACTGTTTAAATTTTCCAATTGGCGAACAACTTAGCTATACAAATTGCGGTCACCAATATTTACCTCAGGTAGTTCAGTCCCTATTTTTGTTTAAATATACTTTAAAAATTTGCCATTTTTTCGAACAACCATTAGATTATATATTATTGTATCTAGATAAAACAAATTGAGGACTTCCGGCTTTATCCCGGAGAGTTGACAGCCCTGTCCTGTGATTGATTCCTGTTCCTTTGCGATGCCCCACGCTTATTATGATCAACGTACTGATATTTGCGAGCAACAATGAGAAAAATAAAGAAATTCACCACCATTAACCCCGCCAATAGGAAAAAATAGTATTCAAAGTGGCCTTTGTTAGGATTGTCAGCTGGATACCATTTTGGTTGGGCATAACTGATAATATTTGCCATACCACCAGATAAATAGTTGCCAATACCACAAGTGACCAGGAAAACGCCCATTACAAGTCCTTGAAGATTTTTAGGGGCTTGAGAATATGCAAACTCGAGACCTAAGAAATAAAAATATAGAAATAAAATAAAATATGTGCAACTGAATTTCAATGACATGGCTATCCCCGCTCTTGAAAGATTTCTTGTGCCATTTGAGGTTGCCATGCCTGACTGAAGCTTTTACGTTATATACCATATACGCAATGCATTGTAGGATATGTTTGGGACAGAACAAGGCAGATTTCTTTTGTTTTCTCTTGAAACCAATCCCACAATGCATTGAAAATCAAGTTGTGACGTAAAAGGTTCAGAGCAAGAACATTCTTTTCCTCTGAGGCAACGTTTTTACAAATAGAATAACAAAATGACATAGTATACAAACCTGTGATAAGTGTTAACACGTCACCAGTTGCAATGAGCAGAAACTGTGGCACTTGGTAGAAAACTGACATATCAGACGCAGTTATATTTTTATCAAACAATGTCTGATAAACAGTATGTCCATTTTCAAATCTCTCTCGCCGTTTGCTCTCCACCCATCCAGCCACTGCGAGAGAAGAGGCCGCAAAGACCATGCCCGTGCCAATACGCCGTAACAGGGTGAAGTTAAACCCAGTGTGTCGAATACAAGGATAAACAAGTTTGTCCATGATAGGAATGAGAATTAGAGCAGCAACGATGGCAAGCACAGACAGAGATGCAACAGGAAGCGAAGAACTACCGCGAAGATCTACTATCTTCATGTACTGAGCTTGAATTAGATATGTTGTCAGCATCTTTGAAGATAAAAAACATCGGTTATATTATCTTCAGAACATAGCTGACAATTTGTTGCGTTATAGATGATAAGATTCATGATTTTTTTTCAATATTTTAAACTAGTTTTGAGTCGATTTATCGTCCCCACCCTTTCGAAGTGCCATTAAATAAATGAGTATTCACCTGTGAGTAAAGTGTCCAGTAAATTATAAACATTGCAAATATGGGAATTATTCTCAGAAAGGTTTTGACATCTTCCACTAGACCATTTGAGAAGTGCCCTCCCCTGGTTTCCTTGGCTCTGTCCAACCAACTCTCGCCCTTGATCCGTAGAAAAGGTCTTTCACTTTTTCTTAGTGTCCTCTTCRTGGCTGTCCAAATAACTTTAAATGTATCGCCCAGTATGCTTCCTCCWGGGGGTTCCACTATGTATTTGTTTCGACTAATACAMAATGCAATAATAGCAAGAAACATKGAACCAGCTGTTATGATAAAGCCGTAAGAGAAGCYCAYGTTTTGTTCTACRTAGACAAYTAAKGTGWAGGAAACYAARSCCCCRAYGTTGATRAACCARWAGAACCAAWTGAARAATTTCTSAAYTGCCTCTGGGCCTTGATCTTTAACTTGGTCTGCCCCAAATGGGGATACATTGGCTTTAATGCCTCCAGTTCCAATAGAAAGAAACACCAGTGATAAAACAAAGTATGCAATTTTAGATGTCTTTCCCAAGTAGCTTCCATTTGTGATTTTTTTAAGAGTGGCATCTTCAATGCCAACAACAGATAATAACAGTGTTCCAACAAAATAAATTAAGGAACTCCCATATATTACATTGAAACGACCCATGTATCTATCTGCTAACCAGCCTCCAAGGACAGGGATAAAAAAGGAAGTACCTATAATAAAATAATGATTGAAAGTCATATTCAATATATAAAATAATATATGAATAAATGGGAACGCCCTAGTACAAGGGATCCGAAATCGGACAAACCCGGAATCCGCGGCAATGGAAAATTAGAATCTAGAATCGAAATTAGTGATTGGAGCTTGGGATCTGGAATCCAGGAATTAACGTACCGGATCGCCACCCTGTGCGTACGAAAAAATGACCACGCAATGGCCCTGCATTTTACCAATACAATTAGAAAAATGCAAAATGGATTCAGTTCAATCTACCTTGGAAAACAAGGTTTACTGTTGAAGGTAGAGTATTCTTCATCCCCAGTGTTTTTTCACAAAAAGGCACAAGATTTGCTAGAATGCCATAATATGTCAACCTTTCACATAGCTCTGTTACCAGAATACATAATATTACGAAGGTTTTTGATGAATGCTTCTGTGGGAGTTCGCCTCTGTTTCCGCTCTTGGTTCGACTCTTGCTATTTAAAAGTGGAACTAGATCATCTTTAGAGTTACCCATTTTCTTGAAATTGTTGTATTTAAGAACGTTTTTTTTTTCAATGTATGTCAGACTTTAGGACCATTTGATGCCAGCTCTAAATGTTTGAAAATCGTTGAAGATGATTAATTCTGAAAGAAAAAAAAGAAAAAACGACAACTATTAGCGAGCCCTATAATTCAAAATTTCATTATGATTACCTCGTACTGCTGTGCAGGCTTTATGTATGTCGTTGGCATAGTCACCCAGTTTTAAAAATAAAACTACTTCCTGGTTTTTTTTTTTTTGTTTTTTTGTTATTTTTTTTTTGTTTTTTTCAAGCTGATCCACACAAAAAAGAATCACTTTAAAAGTGATATCTGTCAAAACCTCAGTCCATGACAGATTATAATGAAATTTCCGATCTCTATTAATAATCCTAGAGGTACATATGTACTGCTGATAATCCCCCATTTCGTTTTTTAGTTACACCGGAAATGACGACATAATTTTGCAGAAATCCCATCATCCTTGTCGACATCGGTGATGTGTAAATCGATCAACTGATAAGAAATGACTCCAAACGTAGAGCTGTATTTTCTGGATTGGGATAAACTGGAAACAGTAGGTGGAAAAGATATTTTTTTGAAGGAAAACTAAGGATTTATTATCAAAGGATGCTTAGATGGTTGATTTAATGTATAAATTATAACTAACTCCGTACAGTACAGCTAGAACACAACTCCAAGGACACCCGGCGTAACTAATCGATGAAATCTATTAATCGATAAAATCGATACTAATCGATACAAACCGTAACTAATCGATCGATCATTATCGGAAATCGATAAAAATCGATATTCAGCTTTGCTGTGATTATCGATTTTATCGATTTTCATCGATTTTTATCGATTTCCTATCTGTACTGAATTTACTTATAAATAATTACGCTACGTTCACACGGGGCCGGTCAAGTTTGAGGACACCTCGGTTTTAGGACAGTTAATAATAATAATAATAATAATTTTATTTTTATATAGCGTTTATACAAATCTGCTCTAAGCGCTTTCAAATTACAAACAAGTACAATGACAGAGTCATGGTAGACTGCGAGCTTAAGATGGCGCCTCATGGCTGCCGCTCTTTGTCCGTCCCAAGACATCAAACTTAAAAATTACAACAATAAAAATTAAAATATAAATGACACTACAAAAAATACATACAAGGAATAAAGAAGCATGCATGATGGCCGGTGGCTCAGATGAGCTCATTCGCCCTTTGACAGGTCTTGTTTTTAGTCCTGCTGGGTGTACATGCCACCCTCCTCACCAGTTAGACTGGTGGGGGAGCCGGTTTAGACGCCGACGACCCGTCCATGAGGCAGGTTGTACTGGGTTACAATGTTACCAGTAGCAGACTCATCGTCTGACCTGAC